CCGCGGGTTCAAGACCCGCCTTGGGCAACTTGGCGAGACCTCATCTCTACAACAAATCAAAAAAAACTAGCCAGGCGTGGTAGCACGCGCCTGTAGTTCCAGCTACTCGGAAGGCTGAGGCAGAAGGATCGCCGGAGCCCAGCAAGTCAAGGCTGCGATGGCCGGGAGCATGCCACTGCCCTCCAGCCTGGGAGACAGAGTGAGACTCCAACTCAAAAAAAAGAAAAAATAGTATCTCAGTTTTCCTTTGTGCCAGTCTCCCCAGATGACCATGATAAGTCTAACCCTTTCTTCCCTCACCCCTACAGTCTTCCTATCCACCTCACTGGCTCAGCACAGACCTGTGCTGCAGTCCTGACCACTAAAAGCATCTCATCCCTCTGGCTTGACTGGCCTAGGGATGGGCACATGTTTTCAGTTGGTCCGTTGAGAGTCAAACTTCTTCTTGGATTTGCCAGGTTAGTTGAACTTAAGCCTTGAATGGCAGGGAGGGCTCAACTTGGGATGAGTTCACCTGAGGCTGAAGCTGGGACAGAAAAGAAAGCAGATTAGGGAAGTGAGGGGGCTCACAAACCTCTGATATCATAATTTGAGTCTTCGAATTAAGTCGAGCCTGAAGTCAGATCAACTCCTTGACTCTTCAGTTACTTGAGCTGGTAAATTTCTCTTACTCCTTATGCCTCTTTTTCTGGGAGGGGCAGGGGTGCAGAAATGTATTAAAATTGAAAGACACTTCTTTTTTTTTTTTTTTTTTTTGAGTTGGAGTCCCACTCCATCGCCCAGACTGGAGGGCGGTGGCCCAGAATGGAGGGCAGTGGCATGCTTCCAGCCACTGCAGCCTCAACCCTCTGAGCTCCGGTGATTCTTCTGCCTCAGCCTTTCAAGTAACCAGAACTACAAGCGCGTGCTACCACACCTGGCTAATTTTTGATTTATTGTAGAGATGAAGTCTCGCCAAGTTGCCCGGACAGGTCTCGAACCCGTGGGCTCAGGCAATCCACTCACCTCGGCCTCCCAAAGCGCTGGGA